TTCCTCACAGCTGTTGTGAATTTTTTTTAGTCGGATCTTTCTTAATAACACTATATGTGTCTCTGTTTTCAAAAATTGTGTTCATTTTATTAATATAAGTGATTCTGTCCATGGCTACAGTAACATTGCCTTTATCGGCATGAGTAAAAATGATAATCAGGATGAGTGGATATGAAATTTTTGGTGCTAATTTCCATTATTTGTAATTTTTTATCAACCGAAGAAGTAAAAATAGGTGAAGAAATGATTTTATTCAATATAGGTATGGTGTTATTTGTAACTTCGATTTGTTTCGCTATTGGCATTCTATAAGTGCTGTTTTCTACACTTTTGATACATTCAAAAATAATATTATTTTTATTTTTATAAGGTAGTGCAAAACCTTCCCCTAATTGTAAAAAACATTGTATATTTAAAGGAATGTTCTCATTAGTCAGGTTAACAAACCATTTATTCCTGATAGTTAATAGCGAAGACGAGTTAGAAATATTAAATGATAAAGGAGAAATAAAAATAGAATGTGAGTTTTGTATTCTGTTTTGTCTCAAACTTACTGAGATATTATTATCAACAGAATTTTCCGGTTGATTGTTCTGTGTAAGAGGGTTATATTGGATAGGCGTGATGTTCATGTGAGTCTTTTTTTCTTTTTTGTACGAAAGCCAATAGAACTTAGAATCAAGTCTTTTCTTTTCTTTAATAAAATATGATTTACAAGGTTTCTCTTGTGTATTCAAAAAATCATCACAGATCTTAATAGGAAGACAGCTGGGAAGAACACTCATCGTATGCAACAACAGCATTCGAAGATGATACGCTTCTCTGTGCATCACCGAGTTCCATTTTTAGAATTTTCCTGAGAGAAGTCTCCCTCAAGCGAGCAAATTTTTTGATAAAAGTTTGTGTTCGATGTTGTGTGAATCGCTGTTTCGATATCGACTGAGATCTCGAATGACGGAATGGATTAGTGGACTGGAAGGATGAGACCACTGAGCACTCCTCTTTTCACTTGTTGTAAGCAAGCTTTATTCACAGTAAACGCAGTGTTATTCGCGTGGCACGACGAGAGCGACGATTAACTGCTGTTAATACGCCGATACTCATCCACGACGGTAGCCGTGATGAGAAGAACAAAGTAACGAGTCGCGGTAGCGAACACGTAGAAAGAAAGCTGCTGCTTTCGTCGAGTAATTGAGAGCACGACTTGACACGGCAAGTACTGATTTGTGTCTGAGGGGAGAATCGCTGCGCGATTAGCGCGACGAATCGGCAGGACGACAGCGACATCGGTATCCAAATATGCGGCTAAATTGGAGTAATGACATTCGCAAGACGGCGCGGTGAGTGCGACGAAAGATTCACGGACAGAATCGATGGATGGCGCAATCGATCCTTTATTCGGCTTTTGTAGCGCGAAACTTATCCTATTCCGGAACATACCGCCCGCCTTGGCTAGACTAGCCGAAACACGATTATTTGATGCCGCCCGCCGTGCCAATCGAGTTTAAAGCTATATGATACATGACGCTTTACATTTTACTTAGATTTAGAAAGATACATAGAAATATTTACATAGAGAGGTATATGAGAACATTAACTTATAATACAGTAAGTTCGAGCGAAAGGAGTTCGATCAATGAATGCCACGAAAGGAAATCGATCATGTGGACGTTTCGTTTAAATCAACGGGTAAGAAACATAGCTCCACTATGGAACGTTTATACGTCGATTTTGACGTTTTCACAGTGACGACGCGCGTTAGTCCGTCGTCTCCGGTGTGGCATTCAATGATACGACCGAGTTTCCACTTGCACGGTGGTGCAAGGGGATCGCGCAAAAGAACTAGGCGTCCGACTCGGGCAAGTTTTTGAGCGACGCGCCATTTTGAGCGCTGTTGTAATGGTTAAATAATCATTTGACCATGCTTTCCAAATAACTTCGCTTTTTTGCTGCACGAGTTGCCAGCGAGTCAGGCGCGTTTCTTTTGTTTCTAGTAGCGTTGGAGATCGTGGCGTTGTGAGAGCGCTACCAATTAAGAAATGATCCGGTGTCAGACATGAATAATCATCAAGATTATCTGACATCGGAGCTATCGGACGTGAGTTGAGGCACGCTTCGATTCGATAGAGCAGCGTCGTAAGCTCTTCGAATGTCAGCGTGTGAACCGTTAACGCGTTTGAGATGATATTTGACGCTGCGAACGTCGGCTTCCCATAGGCCTCCGAAGTGAGGCGCGGAAGGGGGAATGAAGTGCCAACGGACACCGTCGCACGACAGTTTGCTTCGCAAGTTTGAATCTTGTTTTGCTGCATGAATTGCAGCTTTCAATTCGCGATCAGCTCCGCGAAAATTCTTTGCGTTGTCGGAATATAAATCGGTCGGCATCCCGCGCAGAGAGCAGAAGCACGCGTATGCTGCGAGAAACGCGGCGGTGGTATAATCGCTGACTAAATCGAGATGTATTGCTCGTGTCGTCATACAGACGAATACGGCAATGTAGGCCTTCTGAGATTTGTATCCACGGCCTGAATTTAATCTGACAGGAACGGGCCCGGCATAGTCAAGTCCGCAATGTAAGTATGTGCGATCGACTTGTCGGATGCGCATTGCCGGGAGATCGCCCATGAGTTCACTGAGGATAACCGCCTTTTCGCGCGTGCAAGTAATGCAACGATACAAGACGGCTCGCACAGTTTGACGAGCGCGAAGAATCCAAAATTCTTCGCGTAAAACACATAATGTTAGTTGCGTGCCCGCGTGGAGCGAACGCAGATGAGCATGTTGAATTATCAACGTAACGAGTGGGTGTGCTGCTAGAATGAGAGGACATTTAGCGTTATATGAAAGGTTGGAATTTTCGTAATCGACCGCCTACGCGAATTAAATTATCGTCATCCAAAAATGGATTAAGTGAGATTAGTTTGCTAGTTTTTGCTACGGGTTTCGAATTTTTTAATCGACGCACATCATCGATAAAAAGATTTTGTTGAATAACGCGTAACCAAAAGCGTCACGCGTGTTGGTATTCGTCTACCAAAATGATATCGGATGGAAGAGAATGTAGATTCGTCGTTTGACGACCGCTTTTTGTATATACGATTTCGAAGCTTATTAATAAAGCAGATTAGATAGGCCGTTATGCCAAGAAGCTTCGGCCATGAAGAATAGCGGGAAGCTAAGTCCCATTGAGATTCAATATCGAGAGTTTGTACGATGAGGGTCGAACATTTTTCGAGCGAGGTGTCGTAATCTTGCCGAGATTCATTCGGCCACATACTTGAAGGAAGCTTGAGCCACTCGGGGCCTTGCCACCACAGTGAGCTCTCCGCGAACGAGGAAGCGGTAACTCCGCGTGATGCTAGATCCGCGGGATTCTGATGAGTCGGAACATGATGCCACGTGGCATCAGGTATTAGAGTTTGCACATCGTGCACGCGATGCGCGACGAACGTTTTCCATCGAGATGGAGATTGGAGTAGCCATGCGAGAGTGACGGTTGAATCCGTCCAGCAATGACATGGAATTGTCGAAAGTTCTAATGTCGTTCTGGCAAATGACATTGTTCGTGCTAAAAGCGCAGCAGCGCATAGTTCGAGTCTTGGAATTGTCAAGGGCTTAAGAGGCGCGACTTTTGATTTTGCTATTAATAGGGAAACAGTAACTGATCCCATAAGCGAGATAACTTTAAGATATATGACAGCGGCGTATACGACGGACGATGCGTTAGCGAAGCCGTGAAGCTCACAGTGACTTGTGTCGGAACCGAAGGCAGTCCATCGTGGCAAAGAGATATTACGCAGTTTAATTAGCTGCGTGTGATAATTGTGCCATTTTTGCATGAGAGGGGGTGGAATTGGATCATCCCACGTACTCTTAGTAGCCCACAATTGTTGCATGATAATTTTAGCAGTAATTATGACCGGAGCAAGCCACCCGAGCGGGTCAAATAATTTTGCTATAGTAGACAGAATTTTCCGTTTAGAATCTGGGATCAACGTGGTAACTTCGATTGAAAATTGAAATGCATCGGTAGCTGGGAGCCACGTGACGCCTAAGACTTTGAAACTTTCGTCGCTTTGCAGAATTTTACCTTGATTTAGACTCTTTTCATTGACCGGTAGGTCGTTGAGTAACGTAGGGCAGTTGCTTGCCCACTTACGGAGGAGGAATCCACCTTTTTGTAACAGTGAAATTAATTGATTGCGGATTTGCCTTGCAAGCGGCTTGTCATCCGCGCCGAAGATGCAATCATCGACATAGATTTGATTTCGTAAAACTGATTGAGCAACAGGAAATTGAGCGCCTTCGTCTTGCGTCAATTGCTGAATCGTACGAAGAGCGAGGTATGGAGCACACGCCATACCGTAAGTAACAGTAAGCAAGCGGTAGTTTTGCACCGCTTCGGATGATGAAGAGCGCCATAAGATGCGCTGATAATCTTGATCTCGCGGATCGACTTGAATCTGCCTATACATTTTTGCGATATCGGCAGTGAAAACATAACGATGTTGTCGCCATCGAAGAATTACCGAACGAAGGTCGGTTTGTAACTTAGGACCGATCATGAGATGATCGTTAAGTGAAGAGCCGTTCGATGTCGACTGAGATGCATTGAACACGACGCGCAACCGCGTGGTGCTGCTATGCTCGCGAATCACCGCATGATGCGGGATGTAAACTGATTGTGAAGCAGAGACTGGTTCGACTAGTTTCTTCATATGACCGTGATTTTCGTATTCCAGTAGGAACTCTCGATATTCGGATGCGATATCCTTTTCATTTTAAAGACAGCCTTCAAGCCGTGAAAGAAGTGATGATGCGATGTGACGAGATTCGTCGATTGCAATCGGAGGTTTGACTTTGAACGGTAGCCGTACGACGTACCGTCCATTAGAGTCACGAGAATGAGTTACTCGGAAATGTTCCTCACAACGTTGTTCCTCAGGAGTGAGGTATGATAATTGCGGAAGTTCTTCGACTTCCCAGAACTGACGAATTTCGTCATCGAGATTGTTGTGCAACGTGGTATGATTAACTGTCACGTTAGACATGTTTGAAGACGAATCGTCGAAATCGGACCAGCCATGATCCAGCCGAATATGGAATTCTGTGCTGTTGGCTGATTAGAGGAACCTGAGCACAGGCCCGGTAACAGAACAGCACCGTATAGATCAGCGCCGATGATTATTTCGATCGGATCGGCACTTGAGGGCTGCGGATCAGCCCATGGTAGGCCGCTTAAATGAGCGAGAGAGATTTGATATGCTATTTTAGGCGGCGTGTATTTAGTCAGAGAGCGCATAATAATTGCGGTCGTTGAGTATGACGGACCCTTGCCGGTCTTAGATGATACCGAAATAAGAGCAGCATGTCGTGCGACGGATTGCGTTTCACCGATTCCGGTAACCGAGACAGCAACGCGTGTTCGCGATAACCGTAGCCGTTGAGCGAGATTTTCACTAATTAAACTAGTGACAGATCCTTGATCTAACAATGCGCGTATGACATCTGTGCGACCAGACGAAGAACACACCTGAATCCGCGCGGTAGCTAATAGAACACGAGATTTGTCAAATGTTGTTTTCGTAATTAAATGTGAAACGACGTTGTTTTCATTTGACGTATTCGTTTCGTTGGATTCAAGGGAATTCTCGGTCGCGCTTGATGTCGTCGCTTCGTGAAGCATCGTATGATGCCTTTGTTGGCATTGACGACAGTTATGTTTACTCGGACATGTGTTCGCGAAATGTCGAGCGCTTAAACAGTTGAGACATCGTTTAAATTTGACAATAAGATCGCGACGCTCGTTAACCTGTTTCTTCTTGAAATCAGGACATACTGACAAGAAATGATCTTGTTTACAGAGCGGACAATGAGCTCCGGTAGCGGTCGTCATGTGACTTTGCACGGACGACTTGCTCGGTTTTGTTTCGACCGTACTGGTCGTTGGAATATTTTCGAACGCTCGAATTCGCGATGCGAGAAAGTTATGAAGATCCGTATACGACGGATATTCCGTTTTATCGCCTAAATGTAATTCCCATGCTTTACGCGTGGCTTTATTTAATTTTTGCACGACTAGATAGACGAGCAAATCGTCCCACCACTCAACTGGACGACCGAGATTTTTTAACGCTTGAATTGACATATTAGCTTTATCTCGAAGCGACATAAGATCCTGCGCGGAATCGGTATTAACGGCCGGTAGCGTATGAAGCGTATGAATATGTTCCGACACTAATCGACGTTTATCATCGTAACGCGCGAGCAGTACATTCCACGCGATTTTAAAATTAGCTTCGGTCAAAGGGAGATTACGCAACGCGTCGCGTGCTTCGTCCTTTAAACATGAATAAAGGTATTGCAAGCGCGTAACATTCGACAACTCGGCATGATCGATAATCATAGAGCGGAATTGATCGCGAAACGTTTCCCGTTCCCGTAAATCGCCGGAGAATTTCGGCAAATTAATGCGCGGTAATGTAAGAGATTTTTCGGATTTCTGTGATTGACTCACGGATAACCCTGGACTTGATGGCGCTTGATCTGCTTCGAGAGAGGCGAGGGCGTCGGAGATGTAGTCCGATGCTGCGAGATAGGCGTCCTCCAATTCGATGTAGACATCCTCCTTGAAGTATTTCTCGGTATCCTTTTGTTCCTTGGTGGTCGACTTTGAGCAGTTGTGCGTGCAGGAGCTAGCATCGAGCGTAAGCCTCCTTGAGAGTTTGAAGGCGATTCCGAACTATGCCGTACGTGTGATTTGCACGGCCGATCTTCTTAAAGTTTTCCAATGCGCGTGTGACAGAGCGCACAGCTAATCGCTGCTGCGATAGTAATTCTTCCATTATGATTTTGAGAGGTTTCCGTATCTTGGTATGCTCGAAACGGAAATCTTGCGATGTGCCACGTCACTTACGTTTACGAAAGTGAACGAAGAGTCACAATGTCCCTTGTTGTTTATCCGCCACGAATCCGGCTCGAAGGGCCAGAATGTTCGATGTTGTGTGAATCGCTGTTTCGATCTCGACTGAGATCTCGAATGACAGAATGGATTGGTGGACTGGAAGGTTGAGACCACTGAGCACTCCTCTTTTAACTTGTTGTATGCAAGCTTTATTCACAAGTAAACGAAGTGTTATTCGCGTGGCACGGCGAGAGAGACGATTAACTGCTGTTAATAAACCGAGACTCATACACGACGGTAGCCGTGATGAGACGTACAAAGTAACGAGTCGCGGTAGCGAACCCGTAGAAAGAAAGCTACTGCTTTCAACGAGGAATTTGAGAACACGACTTGACACGGCAAGTACTGATCTGTGTCTGAGGGGAGAATCGCGCTACGCGATTAGCGCGACGAATCGGCAGGACGACAGCGACATCGGTATCCAAATATGCGGCTAAATTGTAGTAATGATATTCGCAAGACGGCGCGGTGAGTGCGACGAA